ATCCGGACTACAAAGGCACACTCCCTTATGTACCCCCAAGGAGAAAATAAAAGTTGTCGAAGAGGCTTTGGAATAAGCAAATCGAATCTAGAGGTTTAAGGGTTCGGGAATCCCTGATATTTTGATAGAAGAGAACGGTGAATAGTTGGAATCCGAGTGTGACAACTAAAATATGTATTGTGGAGGTTGTAAGAAGTATTAATCAGTGCTCAGAATTAATATCTGACGATTCTGTGGAGAGGGTGTGTGTTACCTCAAGGGTATTTCAAAAGTTGTCGAAAAGGCCTTGGAATAGGAAAACTGGACGATATCGGAAAAGCTTAGAATCATACTAAAGTCTCAGCTGGACTAATAAGGTGATCCCGAAGCTCTGAGATAAGTTAAATGAAAAAGACCTCAGAATAGCAGTTTCACATTCCAAATAAATGGACCGTGGATCGGGAACACTCATTGAGAAGCGGGACCATTAATTTTAATATAATAAAAATAAATGATTAATTTTAATATAATAAAAATAAATGATTAAATTTAATATAATAAAAATAAATTATTAATTTTTGGCGAAGGTAAAAATTAGTGGTCTCGCTCCGAAACTAGTGGTCTCAAACCGGCAGTTCCTATACTACTAGGATTACCGTTTTACATCATTCTTCGTATATGAGACATTTTGATCGCAAGTAAGGAATTAATTCTTAGCCCAGAGACATAGCCCAACAACATAACATTAGCGTCATTGTGATTTTATAGAGATAGAGATAGAGCTGACTAAGGATTTTAGAAGGAGTTATCTGTACCTTCTCAAAGATGTAGACATGATACTGTCGTTTACATCCAACACACATAAGATTACATCACTCAAAATGATTCGAGCCGAACCGTTCGTTTGTTAAAAGGAAGACTGGTTAATAGAAATTGATCCTTGTGAGAGACATAATCGTGGGTCGGCATCGATCCGTGTCGTCGAACAATGAAAATATTTGTCGTGCAATTAGTGAAGATAAAATAGCAGTTTGTGAGAAAACTGCGGGTCTACGGAGCGGAAACTTTTTGGATTTGAACTCAGCGTGTTTGAAAGTGTTAGTTCCCGTAAAATATTTCAGATCCAAGAAATGCTAAATGAAAATCGTATTCTAGGCACTTTTCGAGGTCGCAAAACACAGACTACAATATTAAGCTCGGTTTCCTAGAAATCATCAAATGATAGTGCTTGTTTGAGCTAATTAGCATAAAAATGATAAGGTTCATGGTATGATCAATTAGGGACCGGTCATAAAGTAAATGCTAGGGTGGGCCGGAGGAAATAAGGATGGGCCATGAAATTATTTACATCAGTTTGGGTGGGCCATTAATTTGTTTTTGTGCAAATGGATGGGCCATGAAACACGTATAGCCGGTTTGCACTCAATACATACTATGACTACTACACAACATTCTTATTGAAAGAATCAACATTCAATATAACAAAATAATAGATTTAAAGTGAATTGAAGATGAAATAAAAACGTAATATATACTAAAACTGTCTGCACCAGTGTGGGTAGTTACAATGTGAAAATGCTGTGCTGAGTGGTTATATTACTACCTGAAAAAAAAAACAAGAAGAAACTCGACGTTTCGAGCGAAGGTATAGTAATATAACCACTCAGCACAATAAAAACATAATCCTATTAGTGTTAATATCATTAATATTTTGTAAGTTACATCTGCAGGAATTGATTTTTAAATATTCACATCACCCTTCCTCAGAATCAGATTCTGATGACACAGAGTCGGACTGCATGAGGAGATAATAGAAGAAGATGCAGCTAATATAGTAAAAGCAACAAATTTGCCAGCCAGAGTTTTACGAATTTTGTTGGTAAATCAACTAAAATATTCAGAAACAGTATAGTCTCTGTAGTAATCCAGACACACTGCAGACTTGTCCCACAACATTTTACGATATGATATAACTAATTTTTTCATACGCATATGTTTTGTAATTTATATACAAATAATGCAACGCATACTGCCAAACATACCTTTTATTTTCATCATTATCCACTTGACGGTCTTGAAATAAACCGACAAATTTCGTTCCAACAGCAGTCTAGTTTTATAACATTAGCCCTAATCACATTAGAGACGGACAAGTCGTCTAGACGAACAAATCGTCTCTCAAAAATCGTCTTCACAGACGCACAAGTAGACTGGTTCGTCTAAAATTTTGTCGACACGTTTTCACACCTGATGATTTGTCCGACTAAAAGACGATTTTGAGACGATTTGTTCGTCTAGACGACTTGTCCGTCTTCTAATGTGAAAACGGCTAATCTGTCAGCCATAGTTTCGAGCAACAGTACCGGTAATTGGAAGTCAGAACAGTACCGCGGATAAATAAAACGGTATGCGGTCACAGTCAGTGCCTGAAGTAATAGAGGATCACGGAGTTTTATCTAAGGCGCTATGTATAAAAGACGATAACTTTTCCTTTTAAACCCGCTAAAATTACTACACGCATGAGAGCGTTAGGTGACTTCGGCCATAGAGATCATAAATAACACAAGAGGGGGCATCGTAATCTTAATTCAGTCAAAGAAAGGAAATGCGCCTATTGGGGGCAAAAAATTAAAATGCTAAAATATATAAGAGCGAGTTTGAGCCAAAATCTCTAAATTCTTGTTTATGGCAGTTAAGTAGTCCAGTTTTGATTTTCACCAAGCATTTTTACCTGAATTTTGTCTATAACACATTTTCGAGAGCGCTCCAAAATAATACTGATGTCAGCAATTTTGATCTTTTCAAGAGGATTAATCGTTTGAATTCAAAATTGTGCGGGAATGTCTGTAGTAATGACATGCAAAATATATAAAACACCCAATTTTGTGACTCTTGTTTTAGATTTTTCTGATTTCAAGTGTAACCAAAGAATTGCATGTGTAGTGTTCATCCGGGAATTTAATTTGCCTCCCTCCCCCCATTACCGCACTCTCAAATTCCACACTCGATGCCCCCTCTATTTTTATTTATAATATCTATGACTTCTGCACCTATCTCTGGTTCATCATATCATGAGTTTTCCTTCAAAAGGGCACTTAAGCTGCTATACGATTTTACTTCTGTGAAATGCAGTTGTCGCATAAGTGCCAATGAACGATACTCCTCGCAGCCAATTCTTTTTGAACATACTACAACGTTAACACAATATTTGGCTACCAGCAAAAAAATAACTAAAAGGACATTATCCCCGACCCAACGGCGCCCAGCGCCGGAACGGTGTAAGCCTGAGGCCGAAGATAATAGTTTTGCACGGCTAATTACCCCCGTCTGAAGTTCAGTAATAATCGTGGGCGCATGTCTAAGGTTGACCGTTCATTGGCGGTGATCGTCACTAATCCAAAATGTCATGAATAGCAAACACTGATTAGTCAATTTTGCATTATAACGACTGCATGACGGCAGCGAAATAATAAACATTTCTTGCAAATATATTTCATGTTTGCAAGATTTTGCAAATTTCACAAGCTTTTTGACAAAAAATTAAAAGCCAAAAGACTTGCTAAAACCGGGAAACAAGACGCCGACGTTAATGAAGGTTATTTTGTTTTAAATGTTGATCATGTATTGTTGCAGGTTTATAATTGCTTTAAGAATTTGTAGGTGATAATTGTCTTCGTCAGTTCATTGAAGGCTCAACCCATCGTGCTGGTAATAAGCTTGACTGTTGACTTGACTTGACAAAACCTGTGCGTCGTGCTGTCTTTGACTACAACAAAACTGGTTTTTCCGCACTACGTAGAGCATTGTCAGAAGCACACTTGGACATACATTTTATGAATAATATCGATGAATGCTGGGAACGGTGGAAGGACGCATTTCTACCTGTTGTGACCAGATTCGTTCCAACCAAACTTGTGCAGGATCATGGCCAGAAATTCAGGACAACATGGCGATTAGCATACGCAATGTGCTTCCTCATTCATTCAAGATGGCTGATTTATAATAGACTAAGTATTGCAAAATATTTGTTTTAGCAATTTCCAACGTTTTTTGTACATAAGTCCGACCTCTGCACGTCGAAAACATCATTTAATTACTCGATCCTTTAACCGAATAAATTTCAGAACAGTTCAAGTAGGGCAACCCAGTCCCCGAGAACTATATTCCTACCTTATCTCATCACATATACCAGATAGTTAATTCTCCCAAAATTCGCAAACTGCACATTTTTGGGCAGCATTTTAGGACATTCGTGGGCAGTACATGGAGCTTCTGCACGTCTGTATCGATAAAAGTTGAGTTTATCTTTGTTCTCCAACAGTTTACAAACCCGTAGAGGATGGAGAAACAGGTTCCAAAAAGCCACCAAATATATGCTTTTTAGCAAACAGAAAATGTGTACATTCAGCGTTGGAAGCACCACAAATCATTCGAAAAATTGAAAAAACCCAGCAAATTTGTAAATGTTGATCCGCCATTTTGCTTTAAAATTGTTGCTAGGCAACCTATGTGACTGACAAGGTGTATTTGTGGGCTCAGTGAGGTCGATTTCGCAATAAAATAGCTCAGATTTCCCGGGAAAATTTGTAAAATTTGGTAAAATTATTTGCAGCTTTCAATTTGAGCATCCTTAGCAGTTGGAAATTTATTTTAAAATACTTTTCTTTCGTTTACTTGAACATACTTTACCTCAAGTAAGTATTTAAACAGCTTATTGTTGTATTGTGCGTATAAAAATTGCATACGAATACAATGTCGGATACATGTCCGACTGCATTTCATTCATTCTTGAAATGGAAACTTGGTGAATATGAGTCCGCACGTCTTTCCGCTGACTGTCCTGAATTTCTGGCCATGTACCAACTCTCCTGCTTGGATTGACGTTGAAGTTCACCATCTAATTCGTAAAAATTATACTGCTCTACGGCACTGCAGGGAAGACAAGACATCTACACGCAAGATCAAACTACGAACTCTGTGTCAACAAATCAAGCTAGTATGCAATCAGAACTAAACATAGAATGTACCTTACTAAGATCGAAGCATCGTTTAAAGATAACCCAAAGATGTTTTCGAGTTACTACAAAGCTATTCTTCATCCCCGATCCACGATAAACTCTGTAATAACCTTCAACGTTAACAACCTTACAGCAACATCTCTCAAAGAAAAAGCAGAACTTTTTAATACATATTTCTATTCTGTCTTTCGACCTGCCAAATCTACTGAGATAACAGAAGCGCCCTTATCTTTGCCAACCTCTGCCTTGTTGTCCGATTTCTCCATCTCAGAAGAAGAAGTTGCCGAACATCTCTCGAACTTGGATCCATCCGAAACTCCTGGTCAGATCTTAAAGCAATGTAGTTCTGTCATCGCTCCGTGCCTTTGTTCACTGTTTAATCATTCTATCCAATCTGGAACTCTACCTTCTGAATTGAAATCTGCCAATGTTACACCTGTTCATAAGAAAAATAAGAAGGAACCCGCTATCAACTACCGACCTATATCCCTGCTTTCCATCATCAGCAAAGTCCTGGAGCGATGCGTTTGTCATCGTTTCTTTGAACATGTTCAAGATAAGATTAATAAATCGCAACAAGGATTCTTTCATGGTCACTCATGTGTCACACAACTTCTAGCAACCTTACAACATATTGGACACGTTCTTTTTCTTGACTTGCTAAAGCCTTCGTTTCCTTTAAATTAATCATACTATTTTATTTAAGAAACTCGAATCTTACGGTATCTCAGGCAACATGTACAATTGGTTTACTGATTATTTGCGTGGTCGTACTCAGCGTATCGTTGTCGATGGTGCAACTTCAGAATGGTCTCAAGGTACCTCCGGTGTCCCTCAGGGTAGTATCTTAGGACCTATGCTGTTCCTTCTTTTTATCAATGACCTCACTGACATCATTCCACCATCAACATCAACCGGTCTCTATGCTGACGATACAAAGCTGTACAAAGCAATAAGATCACGGCAGGATTCTGATCTTCTACAGGAATCATTGTCGCACGCTGAGGATTGGAGCAAGCAATCCAATATTGACTTCGACGCATCTAGGTGTAAAGTTCTAACAATATCCCGCCGAAAAAGTCCGAATGAAACAAGGTACCACCTTGGTTCAACTGAATTGGTGCGTGTGATTAGTGAGGTTGACCTTGCAATTGCTGTGACAAGAAAGTTGGAATCGATCAACACATCATTCAAATTGTATCCAAGACAAATATAATGCTGGGCTTATTACCGAGAACGTGCCCCTTGTTAACAGATCGCGTTGCTCGAAAGACATTATATTTATCCTTAGTGAAATCCCAACTGGGTTATGCTACAGAAGTCTGGTCCCCGTCTCAGTCCACCAACAAAACCTACCTAGAGTGGATTCAAAGGCGTGCCACACGATGGATCCTTCAACGATGGATCCTTGTTGGCCCTTAATCTTCTGCCGCTATCTTACGATAGAGAGATAAAGGACTTTACATTCTTTTTTTAAAGCTATGTAGAGATATTATGATTTGAATATTTCTGATTACGTGTCATTCGTAAGTCACAGCCGTATTCGTAATTGTGTAAATCCTAGCCTAATGCTCAAAGTGTAAAACTAGTACATTCCAGTTATCGTTCTTTAATCGTATCGTTCCCCTTTGGAACCATATGTGTAGAACTGCTAAACGTTCAGACTTAAGTAGCCTAAATATGTTCAGATTGTTTTTATGAAGAACATATTTACATTTGCTGATCACTTGTTACGACGTAGACATGGCCTGTACGTGGTCATTACATCGAACTAGCTCATGTCATAGAGTTTCACGCGTGAGATAAACATATGCTATTGCTCGATTATTTTAAAATTTTATATTCAATTATTCCTTGCAACACTTCAAGGTATTATTGCTATCACTAAATTTTTAAGCATCATAAATCTTAGCTTTTATTTTCGAGTTGGTGGCACATGTTTATTTATGACTGTAGTTATGTATATTTTATTCTACATGTATTGTCTGTTGTTGTATCTTTAATCGGAGGAGTGCCTCACATGGGCCATGGAATCTCGTTCGCACTCCTACTGTTTGGTCACTATCCAATAAAGTATTTAAATAAATAAACAAAATAATTAAAAACTGATCGTTGCTTATGGTTAATTACCCTTTTTTATTATTTTAAAATTTTTAAATAATTGAAAGCAAAGTTATATTTTCATGCCAGAAGTTGAAATCATTTTATTTCAAACTCAATATATATTAATTCCCTAGGTACTAATTCTGCCCGGATATTTACACCCGGGGAAACGAAAGCTTTAGCGAATTTTCATTTGTAAATATATTCTTAAAAAATTATCGTGTTACCATGACAACTACTTTAAATACTTCACGTTCGGAAAATACAATGATTTTGTCAGCAAGGCTGCATGGATGTATTTTCTAGTATGTTGTGTTATATAACACTGGCATGCGCAGTGGCAGAACTATTCTTGTTCGAAGCTTAATTAATTAACATTAACGAGTATGTTTATGACATTCAGCAATTATAGCTCGTGCCAATAAGTTGCATGCGGGGAATTATTGCTTATGTAATATATTTTAACAGGACAAATACAAGTGCAAGTAGGATTAAAGAGCAAAAACGTTTTCGACTCTTGCTGAAAACTATATGGCATGAAAAAGGATACTGGGCACTTTTAAACTTCAATATTTAATGATGAGTTTACTTTTTTCTCCAGAGAGTGGTTTTGTGAACGACGAAAAAGCCTTCCTGTTCACTCTTGCGAATCCAACTGGAGTTCGCCCAACAAAACTTCCCCAAGCTGCAGATAGCAACGCCGGGATTTGGTGTAATGCGAATTATGGTGCTGGTTTCGGTTCTGCCAATGGATGCACTATAGCATTCCCGAATAACAGCAATGCCAATTCCTCAAATTGCACCATCACTGATGCGTATGGTGGCTTTGAGTGTCCAGAAGAGAGAGCATTATCTACATTTATTTCTGGTAATACAAGCTTCAACATGAACTACTTTGAAGTGTTTGGTTTAAAGGATGCTTAAAAGGACTGTGGATTAATGTTAGTGTATCTGCATAAAAAACATTGTAGTGACCGATCTTAACAATAGATTTGTTTTATTTTTACGCTAATAATGAATCAATTAATTTTTACTATCTGTTGGAAGTTGAAAAATTTGAAAGGTTGATGTACGCAAATGCTAGACAATAGTAAATTCGGGTGGAGCTTAAATGATTAAATCTGAATAAAACATGCATTAGTTGTACTTTATGAGTTGCTGTTTTTGTTGGACGTTACAACAACATGAAGTATAAGCCCCTTTTACTCAACGCTCACAGGAAGATATAAGTCTCAATGTCTCATCCACGCGAAAACTTCCCATGCAATGTAAACGAGCCAGTTGGTAAATATTTTCTTATTAATGCTTCGAGGTTAAAGTTCTCACCTGGACTTATTTTGTGTCGTTGTTACATGACTGAGAGTACACACCTGGCTTGTGGGCACACATGCATACTAATTAATAAGGACATCTTTTGTGCCGTATAATTGTGTGAAATCGCGTGCTCTTTTAAGAATTCGTTAGTGATGGTGGGGGTGATATCAAGAAAACGAGATGCATTAACTAGGAGAAATCTGGAGATTTTGAATTTGAAGAAGTTACTCCTACTTGACGAAGGTCGGAAAGGCCATCCTAGAAAGATTTCAAAATTTGAGTGTCTTTGGTTCGATTCCCTGCATTTTTCAGTACAAATTCTTGATATATTTTATCCGCAAGAAAAAAGATTTGGTCATGGGAATCATTATTAAACACTATTTTAAATACACAAAGTTATTCTTCCTTCTCTCCCCAACTGAACTGGATGGGTGGGGAGAGGGGAAGGGAGGGGCGATTTTCAACTCTGATTAATTAATGCTAATCCTTGGCCAAAATTTAACTCGTTGTACGTTTTATTTTGCATTACGTACAATCGCTGTAAATCGCTATATTGATGATGATCCAAATTCACAAGAAAACGCAAAGAGGTATAAAAAAAGCCACCCCAATTTGCTTGATATATAAAGAGCTGGATAACGAAAGGCATATATCGATAGATCCATGTAACATACAGCAGTTTGTATTTTGCTGTCATGTAGTGTTATCCTCTTTCGATAAAAAGTGAATGTTTTTGTGCTGAAGCGATATTTTATTTAGTAAGTGTGATACATTTCAACAGCATAGCTAGATTTCATCATGTTATTAAAGGTTTGTGGTAGGTACTAATTGATACTTTGCTATTAAACCATATTCGCCGCTATGTTTACTGGGATATTTTTGTCAAAAGACATGACGTGGTATCATATATTCTGACATATTATCGGCTATAAAATTACGATCGGTGATCGTTGGTTGGCTGAAAGCCAGGTACTTTGCGGATTATGCAGTTTCTACTACATTGTTTGAATACAATATTACGAAAATTACTAAACTGTCGCCATCGCCGCTAGGAATTTCAAGCAGAAAAGATGTTTTATAATTCCAAATTCAATTTTCGTTCAATCATGTGACCAAATTGTTTTACCATTTTGGCCACGTGACCTCAGGTTTTTGTAGTCGATTTATTATTTTTGTACATGGGTTTCTAATTTTATTAGTCAATCAGGTGCGTAGGTTTGAATTAAACGTCAGAAATTCGTTACTCAACAACCAATTTATTGAAACGTAAACGGGGTGACAGACATCCAAACGAAGGTCAATGCAACAGAAGATAATTATAAAGTATTTGTTTAATTGCAAACGTTTTGTGTTCGTGTTAGAGTTCCATAATCGTGAAAGCAATGTATCTATCTTATGATCTCCCTTTTAGTGAAAACATGATCTCAATCTTGTAATATACTGAGTTGAATCGCAGTTGTTTCGCAGTTGACTGGGAATGATTAGCAGTGTCAAATCGTGAAGTGACGTGACAAAAATGATGAAACAATTTGATCATATGATTGAACGAAAATTGAATTTGGAATTTCCCGTTTGAAATTGGTGATTTTCGTAATATTTCCCAATTCCCAGGCATGCCAAAATGAAGGACCAAATGTCCGGCAAATTTGCATGCAGAGGCCCAAACATGTTAGGCTAATAAAATTGAAGGGAAACAAAATTAATTCTTATAATTAGCATGCACGGTCGTTTTCATATTTATCCCTCTTACCTGTTTGTACTTTTCAGAGCAGATGCACTGTAGCTAAATTGGAGTCATTTTGATCCGCTGAAGCGAGTTGTTTTGTTTGAGTCCAGGACAACTCAATATCATGACATGTTTAGAGGTGATACCTTAAAAGAAGTCATTCTCACTCTTTTAAGAGAGTTTTTGTGACTATACTTATTCAGTGCTTTATAAATGCCTCTTGGAAGAGTTGAAATAGAGAACTACTTTGGTGTCATTGCAACGCTCTTGAGATAATTAAAATGCCAAATGACCTGACCCGTTTTTAATTTGAGCTCGAATTGAGTTGTTTTTTGTCAGCACCTAAAATAAGCGTTTTGATCCATTCAAAGTGTCGTTTTGTTTTTACCCAAGAAAACTCCTTTAAAGGATCATAATTACTCATTTTGGGCTGACACCATAAAGGGTACATTTGAGCTGTTTTAACAAAGGCCACTAATTACATTACTACCAACTAAGGCTATGCACCTTAACAAATCGTTACAATGTCGTTGGCCATCTAATACGGCATTCTAATAATTGAAAGCGTAAAAGAACGTTATTTTCTACGAGTCAAAAACGCAGTGCCGCTGGGGTATTGTGCCCCCCCCTCCCCTCCCCGCTTTTTGAAAACACAAAAACGTGACCTTCTTTCACGCAAACGCGCCCTTTTTAATTGAGTCATGATTTTGGGCCTAATGGTGCTGCACGTCAACAAAGATAGAACAGATAAACCGAACTTACGAATCTTTGGAAAACACTTTATTCAGAAAAACAAACGTCGAATTAGATTCTTTGGGGAAATTTTGATATGCGTTATGATATAATAAATACACACCCTATTAATCTTTTTCTTGTAATAGTCAATTATGCACAAACGAGGTAGTACCTTAAACTAAATGAAAACTGCTTCTCAGATGTATTGCAGTAAATGTGATTACTATTGGGCATAGTGCCCTTTCTTGTCAATGCCCCACCCCTCCCCTAACACTTTCGTGATGCTTCCGCAGCCTTTGCCTCGAGAACATTTCTTCGAGAAGAAAAAAACAAAAATGACACGTTAAGCTTTTATATTCCTATCTGGTTTTACGACAACTATCAGTAAGGATTTGCCTTCCACTGCCGCTACCATTATAAGGACCATTAACCAATTAGATCCGTTTGATATATCCGGTTAACCAATGAGATGCGTACTAAGCCAGTGAAAGGTAGTGGTAGCGGTAGTGGAATTAGCCTGCGTGACAGGTGGTATTTCCACAGGCAGCGAAATTTAGGGAGGCAAAGCAAATACCGTCTGCAACAAAACTAGGTGTTTTTGAATTACCCGTCCGCTGGTGAACGGAAAAAACTGATTGACTAGTATTTTTAGGTAGTTGTCAATCAACGGTTAAATGTTAATCATTAACCAAACGTTTTGACGTTTTGAAATTAGTTCAAAAGTCAGACCAGAATTGGAATAACATATAAAAGATGCAACTTTAAAGATACAAGCTCAAAAATAACACTCTAAATAGTGTTTTTGATTGCGATACGAACAAGACAATAACGAAGAAGATACGTCGGAAGGAGCCGAAGTAATGATGAATGATCGGCTAAAGGTATGCTTAGTCTATATTTTCGTTCAGACAAGTGCATATTAAATCTCGCTTGACCAGAGGCGGCAACAAACGTGCATTAGTGTGTAGTAAATATGTCATTATAGAATATTTATATATATATATATATACTACACAGTAAAATTTGTAATGAATTTTATATTTTAGAATCATATTTACTTTCCTACTTTGATTGTATGTGATCGTCTTTTATTTCTGGGAGACTTTACACTCTGTGCTTGCGACTGTCAACATAGGTGATAGTAATGAAAGCAAAGGCTAACGATTCCAGTTCTCAAACAGGCGACATGAACACTTCAACTCGAAAAATATCCCCTTCAAATTGATTTGTTCCCAGTAAAAATTCGCCAGCGTAGAGAATAAACACCCATCTTCGAAAATACAAGGCAATATTAGCATGTCCTATAATTTTTGCAACGGATTTTTAGCGAAATGTTTCGAGACTAAAATTCTATGGAACTTAGAAAGCCAGATAACTACTACGGCGCCTGGTTGGCCACCTAGCCTCCTTTACCGTTTGGATAGTCAGGGAACAGGTGGGAAATTTGTCGTCGCTGACCAAAAAATCGCGGGCAGAAACAAGGTCCATGCATTTGCATTCAAAACAAAGCAGAAAGTTAGCAAGAAGCTATTTTAGCCGACGATTTTTTGCTTTCCATTCAACGACTTACAAATTAATGGTTATTCTTTGAAAGTTGATCATGAATTCTTTGTATTGGGATCATTTGTTTTGTAATCGAGTGATTGGAAGAAGTGAATATGGCGACATGAACATGGGAGGAAATACCGTATACGTCGAGCTATGGCTTGCTTAAAACCGTAATAAACGAAGAAAAACTTGATATGAGAATAAAATATGAGTTGAAATATATTTTATATGCCTCAAATTTTCCATCTTATGTTTCTTAATATAACTTCAGCGGTCTAAGTTCAAAATACAAGCTGGCGAAATTTGACAAATTTTGAAAATATGTTAATTAAAATAGCTAGACTTTGAACTGTATTTTATTAAAAATAGCCCGTGATCTCAATTTCAAATATAGCTAAATGAAAAGAAAAACCTTTTCGGCGTTTGTAGGTATCAAACATATCGTCAGGGAAATAGGGGCTCACAATGTTAAAGCTAAGTCTTTCAGAGCCAGATGCTTCGCACGTGTTTTGGTCAAATTTTTGCCAAGAATCAAAGGCCGTAAT